TGAAGCCCTCGGTCAGGTCGTGGGATTGGGTCGGGGATTCGGTGGATGGGTGGGTGATGAGGAGGGTCGGGACTGGTTCCCAGCACTCCATGGGGGAGTACGTTTTTTGGATTGGGGTTTCGGGGGATTTCTGGGATGGAGTCTCGTTTGAGAGTGCTTCTTGGGGTTGCTCTTCAGGCTGAGGCAGTTCCTGGGAAGGTGGCTCCTGGACAGGCGGTTCATGGGAAGATCGTTCCTTTGAAGGCCTTTCCCGGGGAGGTCGTTCCTGGGAAGGTGGCTCCTGGAGAAGTGATTCTGGGGTAGGCTGCTCGCGAGCCGGCAGTTTCTGGGGCGGCTGTTCCTGGGACGCTTCCTCCTGGGAGAGGTCATCTCGAGAGGAAGGCGACGCCTCGCCTCCGTTGCTGGCATTGTCCCTCTCGCCTTTGCTGTCGGATTCCCGAGCAGGTTCTTCGGGCTGGGATTGAAGTTCCGTATGAGAGGTTGGAGTCAACTGGGGCTCGGTTCCTTCGGGGTCCGTGGATGATTTCGGCTTTGGATCTACAAAGAATTGCAGTTAAAGCATTCTTTAAAAAGAATTGGTTATCAAGAGTGCAATGAGGAACTTCGAAAGGGAACTCCGCGGAATCAAGGCTTTATGCATCGAGAACATACATTTATGCGGCACTTTGTTCAAGCCGATTATTCTTCCAGCTTAAAGCTGAAGAACGTTCAGTTTCTTTCGTTCTTCGTTTCCTATTTGCAGGCTCTCATGAGAACCCTTATTTGCATGATTTTCGCGGTCAAGGAAACAGTTTTATACACTCGTACTATATTACTCGCGAGCAATAAGAAGAGCACAGCTGTGCCAGCTATTCATGAATTATCGATTCTTTCCTGATGTTTGTCAAAGGAATTGGAGGGTTCTGACAAGTCATCAAGATCTTATCCCTGACTTACCCGTGAATTCGAAAGACTGCGAATTGTCTAGGGGAGAATCTTCATTGCTTTCTTCGGGGATGGTATCATGCCTGCTCCACGCGGGCAGCACCACCACCAACAGGTCGTCTATCTTATCTTGCTGATGATTCGACACCTTCGCTTCCTCTTCCTTCGCTTCCTCTTCCTTTTCTTCCGGCTTCTCTTCTTCCTCCTCCTTCTTCTTTTCCCCCTTCTCTTCCGCTTTCTCTTCCTCATCCTCTTCCTCCACTACTTCATCACTATCCTCTCCTTCCTCTTCCTCCTCCTTCTTTACCACCTTCTCTCTCTCCTCCTCTTTCTCCTCCTCTTTCTCTTCCTCCTTCTCTTCCTCTTGTTCTTCCACTTTCTTTTTTTCTTCCTCTCCCTCCTTCTTCTCTTCCACCTTCTCTTCCTCCTTCTCTTCCATCTTCTCTTTCTCCTCCTCTTTCTTTTCTTCCACCTTCTCTTCATCTTCTTCCTCCTCCTTCTTCTTTTCTCCATTCTCTTCTTCTATCTCTTCCTCCTCCGCTACTTCCTCACTGTCCATCATTTCCTCCTCATCCTCCTCCTCCTTTTCCTCGTCTGGTTCGCTGCTATCCATCGTGGAGGCCCGGGACCGAAATTGTATAGCCTCTGCTACGGAGGCTCTATGGGAAACATCGGACTCGTTCTCCTCTGACATCTGCGTGTACGTTAAAGGTACGTAGGTTGCTTCAAGGAAGAATTCGCTAATACAGCCACTGACAGAGGTAGCGGGGAGTGACGCGAACGTTCATCAGAATATGGATTCGGTTAGTGCCAATATCGCAATTCATTAGAGAGATTACAGATATATTAAAGATTAAATTGACTTCATAATAACATGTTCCCATAATAGGGGCATTTTTAATATATTCAAGACGAACTCTCGAGTCGGTCGGCCTCCGCAAGGTTCATTTTAGGTGCTCTTCCTGAAAGTGAATATTGCCAATTATGTACATGCCTATATTTCCAGGCAATTGATATTTAAAGGTGGCGCAGTTGCTATTAAAGGAGCAAGCATTCGCATTACAAAACCCGCACTAGTATGTCCCCAATGTCATAAAAATTGCAAGAATTCCCAATCCCAAAGTTTGGAAGAATGCCTCAAAATACGCTGCTCGATCGATCTGCATGAAGAATTAAACTGTTTTCCCAAGTCGCATTCTCTTGGGGAAGCCTGATCTTCCTGAAGCCTGAAGTCCACGAAACTCTGGATGTCGGTTTCAAGCACAAAACTGCCATAAGAAAGCTCGGAAAAATGCTCGACATTTGATATAATTTGCATCCCTCCAGATTGCGAGGAAGAAGGGGAGGGAAATGAGAAAATTTAAGGAAGATTCCATTAACTTGGAATGAAGCGGAAGGTATTTGACATCCTCTGCTCTTCATGCGCGCGTCTCCCCGCTCGAGTCCGCAATGTTCTCTGTTTCATCCAGGTATTCCGGACAAAACTGGCTGATTCGCCTCTTCACGCTCCCCGAATCTCCATTCGCATCATATATATTTAATATCCTACCGATCGTCGAGCCGCGCAGACGCGTACAAATAAGGAGAAAAAATGCTTTGAAATTATGGATTCCATTTGAGAACTGAGAGAGGTTATCGCGTGTGAATGCGATGATCATCAGATCCATTTCCATTCCGTATCTCCTCCCGTTCCCGAGGGGAAATGTAATCAAATGTAATCGAGCGTAAGTGGCAGAAGAAGCTGTCAAAGAAACCAACGCCTTCCAGCATACCAATATTCTCCCCAATTAAAATGAGTATAATTGCCCTGCAGATGCTGACTATTTCTTTTGTCGTGGCTCCGGCGAGACAATGAGGGCTATTTCAGGTTCGCTAATTTTTATGCAGTCATTTAATTGCGGGGTCTCTCCAGTCACGAACCTTCCAGTTCTCGCCCGTTCAGGCAAGAAATTCAATTGTTCATCTCATATTCATCTCCGTGTCATCCATATTTCGAAGAGTGAGAGGGAAATTTATTTAAATATGGAAG